CCATTGTGCTTTATTCTCGCTGCAAACTGAAGCAGATCAAGTTGACTCTGATTCTTTGAGACTTTTTTGAGAACTCTCAACAAAATAAAACATCAGTAACGCTGTCAATTGATGAGGATTTGTTGTGAAAATACTAGTTTCAGTTCCATAGAACACTTTTTTAAAAATTATTTGCAATTAAGTTTTTCATGAAGTTTTGCAAAATAGTTGGTAGAGTATGGAAAGAAATTAGTTTTATTGCATTTTACCGTCCATTAGGCTAACTATTTTCCTAGGGATGTCCTTTTGATTTAAATCAGTTTCTTTTCAGAGTCTATAGCCAATAGGTCTGAAGTCTAAACACAGCTTGCCTTGGAGGGAGGTCTCCTTAGGGAATGCCTGACTTCTTCTCTAGAGTTAGCTTGGATGTTTCTGTTGCACATATGCTTATATTGTAATATGTTCTTTTTTCTTCGATAACGTATATAATGATTTACCATGCTACGTGTGCCCATGTTTTTCAGCCAACTAGCTATTTCTTGACCTTTCTACGAGACCTTTCTGAAAACGTCGGGTTGGGTAGCCTTTGAAAAGGCACGTTCTCTGCACCCCTGGGTTGCTGCTGAGACCTTGCCAACCGGTTCTGCTGCCCTCCCCGGATCCCAGTCACAGGTGAGGGCAGACTGCTGAGAGACAAGTGGCGCAGAAGTGACTGTTTGAACTAGCTTTGAAAAACCTGAACGATCTTGGGCTTATTTTCATTGAAAATGTCATCAAATTCAGGAGCTTGAAAACTTGGAAGTCGGATTTATTTATTTTTTTTTTATTTTATTATTACAACCCTGAGAAGCTTGAGGATGATAGATGAGGCATCTCCAGCTCTGCCTACCTTGGCAAGTAACTTGCCAAAATGGAAGTCAAGCAGGAGGTCGAAGGGGGATGGTGCTGAGGCTTTTTGTTTGGTGGCCTGGAGCCGCCTGGCTCCCGCGGCACTGCCCCCAGCTGCGCCCCAACCTCCCGCCACGAGCCCGCGGCCGCGGCGGAAACAGGCGCCCCGCCCCCAGAGGAGAGGAGCGTCCCCATTGGCCCTGGCCCCTCCACATTTGCATGGGCCGGACCCGCCCGCGCCGCCCCCGCCGGGCGGGCGGCCGGGCCCGCGCTGGTGTGCCACGTGGG